TCAGACATTGCATGTTTAAGTTAGTGTAAAACAAGTGTGTTCAGGCCAGGACTTTATGGCCTGTTAGTTACGGTCAGATTGGACATTGTATACATGAGTTACAGCAACTTCCAGTTTCTTTGTATTAATAGCATACTTCAGCAAATTTGCTAAGTGTTGCTAGTTTTAGCATGTTTCTAACATGTTGCTAGCCGATTTAACACTTGCTGACGCTTTTTAATATGTTGCTAGTAGTCCATAACAGTGTTAAACATGTCACTTCCTGTTGCCAGCAGGTGGCGCTATGACTATAACTGAATATGGGCATGGACATGTGTTCAGCACTGAACTCCATCAAACGTGTGAAGTTTGGGGCAGATCGGACATTGCTTGCCTGAGTTACAGCAACTTCCTGTTTCATGGCGAAACATCGAATTTTGTCAGACCGCCAGGGACACGCCCTTCAACGAAAACTCATGATCTTCGCCATTTAGCATCGCAAAGGCCTTATGATAACACTCAGCAAATTTGAAGATGATCCGATTAAAACTGTAGGAGGAGTTTGTTAAAGTACGAGACCTGAAAATGGCAAAAACTGCACAAAAATCGTACAGGAAATTCAAAATAACGGACTTCCTGTTGGGTTTCGGATTTTGTACCAAGAGACTTTTTTGTAGGTATTAGTGTGTTACATGTGTCTACAGAGTTTCGTTCATGTACGTGAAACGTAGCTCGAGGCGCACTCCATTGAATGTGTATAGGTGGCGCTGTCGAGCCATTTTGTCACACCCAGTATTCTTACCAAACATCACATGTTTGGTAAGAATACTGGCCTGAAGACATCTACACGTCAATATTCAGTTATAATTATAGCGCCACCTGTTGGCAACAGGATATGCCATGCTTTACACTAACTCAAACATACCATGTTCAATCTGCACCAGACTTCACATGTTTGATAAAAGTCCTGGCCTGAAGACACCTACATGCCAACATTCAGTTATAATCATAGCACCACAAGCTGGCAGCAGGAAGTTTGGCAGATATAAATTACATTTACATATTCCTCCTATGTTTTCCAATTTAAATGCATGTTGCCCACCGTTCACTGTTTTCCTAAAGCCACCAGGTGGTGGTGAGCCCGGGTGCGAGGGCCCTTTCATCATTGCTTGCAGCTTTAATTTCTTAATTGTTTTCCTAATTAACTTGACATCACTCAAAGTAAAGTATGTGTAAATAAAAAAAGGAACTGTTGTAAGATTTTTTTTTCCGCCAAACAACAGAAAAAAAGAAAGAAAAAAAAGCTGTGAGACAGATGAATCATGAAAAGTAGTTTATTGCTCTATGGTTTACATTTCAGAAAATTAAATACTCTTACACAGACAAAACACAATGCTACTCACAAAAAGACATGTCAGTGGAAATATATTACATAATCTATTCCACCCTCCTCATATAAATGTCTCTGTTCTGTCTCAAAACATAAGACAGCACTTTTACAGACAGCACTTTGTAAAGTCTGAAACAGTGACATTTGTTAGGATCTCAGATTGAATACCCAAATTAAAAATAGTGAGCTACAACATTTCTCAACAGCATCAGGCTGTAATGGTGCAGATTTTCCAAAGTTTTTAAGGATTTGGTTTCCTCCAGACATTTCCTCTAATCCATTTTTAAGCATTTAATGCTTCTGCAAATGACTGAAACAGGATAAAACAAGACCATTCTTCAACAGGCAAAATGAATGAAAACACTTTCTTTTTGGTACAGGTTGAATAAATATTTGAATATGGGTGTTTATGCAAAGCATTTAGCAAATTATGTCCATGTCTGATGAAAGACTTAAGACTAAAATATAACATGCATCATATGCATATACTTCATAGAGTTTGTAAAAGCCCATAAATACAAGCTTTGTTAGTGTCACAACAACAGAGGCAATTTTAACACAAATCAGACATTCGAAGTGATATAATTTACAGACAAGAATGTTCCAGATTACAGCTGTACAAAAGTAGAACTCTGTATGCACAAGAACCTCACAAGGCATATATCACACACATTCAGTTACACAAACACATCTCGGGACTGCTAATAGAGAAATCCCTAGTGAATAGCCGTACATTTCAGAGAAACAACACAAAGACACAAAGATGATATTCCATCATTTGAAATATATAAGTTGAATGTCGAGTACTAAACCTGTTGAATGTGATTACTATTCTTCAGCAGCTTAAAGCCTTTGTATAGTGCAATAAAGTACTACTTGAGTATTAACAGTATAAAATTTATACTTTCTTCACAGTCATATATTTCACATTGGCATTCAGAAGTCCTCTAGATCAGAGGTCCCCAACCTAGAGGCTACAACCCATTAACGCATCATGTCATGTCAGAGGGGATGAGACTGAGTCTGTGATGTTACCATCCACTGACAGCCTGGCACCTTCTGTGAGTACAGCAGAGGTCAGAAAAGTGCTCCGTAGTGTCAATCTCAGAAAGGCGGCCGGTCTAGACGGCATTCCAGGAAGGGCACTCGGAGATTGCAGAGATCAGTTGGCAGAGGTTTTCTGTAACATCTTCAACCTCTCGTCAACATGCACTGTCCCCAACTGCCTCAAGTCTGCCACCATTGTGCCCATCCCCAAGAAAACCGCTATCAGCAGTCTTAATGATTACAGACCTGTGGCCCTCACTTCCACTGTGATGAAGTGTTTTGAGAGGCTGGTACTCAGACACATTAAATGATCACTTCCTTCCACCCTGGATCAACATCAGTTTCCATACAGAGCTAACAGGTCAACTGACGATGCCATCAACACAGCTCTCTACACCGCGCTGAATCATTTGGAGCACCCGGGAACATTTGTAAGGATGCTGTTTGTGGACTTTAGTTCCTCATTTAACACTATCATTCCCAGCAGAGTGGTCACCAAACTGCTTAACCTGGGTGTCAGTGATCACATATGTTTCTGGGTAAAGGATTTTCAAACAAACCGCACACAGACTGTCAGGCTGGGGGCCATCACTCAACCACTCTGACTCTCAGCACTGGAGATCCACAAGGCTGCGTGCTGGGTCCTCTGTTGTACTCACTATACACCCACGACTGCACACCAACCCACAGCACAAACACAATCATTCAATTTGCAGATGACACCACTGTGGTGGGGTTCATATCAAATGGTGACGAGTCTGCCTACAGGGAGGAGGTGGCTAAACTCTCAGAATGGTGCATCCATAACAACCTGGCACTCAACACCTCCAAAAGTTACCACTGTAGGAAGCATACTTTCCCATGGCATTCTGGTGTGGTATGCTGGCTTCACTATGGCAGAGAAAAAAGCTTTGCAGAGAGTCATCAATTCCGCCCAGAAAATCACTGGTGCACAGCTGCCTTCACTTGCTGACATCTACAGCACCAGAAGCATACGACAGGCAAGAAGTATGATAAAGGACTCTTCCCACCCCGGCAACCACCTCTTCACTCTGTTGCCCTCTGGAAGATGCTACAGATCCCTTAAGACACGTACCTCCTGACTTCGGAACAGTTTTTGTCCACATGCCATCTTAGAACTGAACTCCAATTAATAGAAGACATATCACTCAATCACAAGCTTCAAAGGGTGTGGTATACTAAGGACTATACACTTACTACTCATACAGCTACTGGTGTAGCTGTGCAACACACTGTTCTCATATTTATATATTTATTCCTTAATTCTCTTGTATTTATAAATATTTCATTCAGTACTGTACATATTTGCTACATTTGCACTATACCTATTTTGCACATTTGGTATATATAATTGTCTACTGTACACCTGTTTACATTTGCACTATTTACTTTTTCTGTATCATTGTTTACATTTTGTTAAATTTACATTTTTGTATGTATGTGTGTACTTTCAATGTGAGAGCAAAAATAAATTTGTTGTACAGCTGTACAATGACAATAAAAAGCTATTCTATTCTATGTAGTTGCTACTGGTCACAAGAACAATCTGTGAAAAATGTCTGTGCAGCAAAACAACAAAAATAATTTATTGAATAAGCCCCACTACCTAAATTAACGGAGAGGCCATCATTTCAGAAAACATCAGTTTCACTCTTGCAGCAGACGTCCCTTAAAAGTTTCTTTAGTGAAGGATGTAGGAAAAGTACATGGAATGGTGATAATGCACCTACTGATAAGAAAAAGGAAAGCCGCCTTTAACCAAAAATGTCATGACTTGTATCTAAAATATGGTTTTGTGGCTATGGTCCGTTCACATGCTTTGGAACATGTGTATTAGCAAATGGGTCACTGAAAGCCACCATGTCTACAAACATAGCTACACTAAGAGTGTCATACTTGATGGCTGATCTAAAGAAGCTCTTTCAGCTACCACTTTCAGACTGAGAATAGATGACACTGAAGTACAATTGTTAGACAGGCTAAACGAGTTACTCTGGTATGCATTGCACCTCAACACATTGACCAATGTTGACAATAAGGAAATACTGGTTTATGTGCAATATATTTCAAGCCAAAGTGCATGAGGATGTTGGTGCGTTCAATGTCAACTAGTACAACTGCGGCAGAGATTTTCAATTCTCTGAATGACTACATATCAGGCAATTTTGTTCCTTTTGCATTGGAATATGCAGACAGAGCAGCATCTATGAAGGACGGCTGTCTGGTTTCACTTCTTGAGTCAAAGAAGTCACACCTGAATTTGAATCTACACACTAGGCTAGGTGTAAAACCTCCGGAACTTCACTCTGTGCTGAATGAAATTGTTAAAATCACATCAATAGCTTTGTGAATCATAATTGTGCTGATTTCATGTAAATTAGATATTAAAAAAAGAATAATTAATGATTGTTCTGATCACACCTCAAACACCGCATTGACACCCAGGTGGTCCACATAAATATTTTCACCTGTCTGTGGTGTATAAAAGGTTGGAGACCCCTGCTCTGAGAAGAATCTGGTTAAAAGGCTTTGGATGATCAGTTATATATCATATATACCCCTTTAGACATCAGACATCTGCACATGCACAAGATGCAAACTATTCTCTTTACATTCAGAAATGACAGGGCTTACAGGAAATCATCCTTCAGGTACACAGTACAATCGAAAATGATGAGAGCTGTGTAAAACAGTAGAAAAAATAGTGCCAGGAAACCACAATCCGCGCAAAGCTTGGCTAAAAAAACAAGCTTACTTTTGCAGACCACATTACGCTGTCTGACGTCAACACATGGTCTTAAAAAAATGTTGGTCCTGTTTGTGGGTCTGTGTGTGTATAGATATTTCAACTTATATTTTTAACACAGTATATTTTTAAGTTACACCAAGCAAAACATTAATGGCACAAAGCATAACAAGTGCAACTCCAAGCATTTGGCACTTACAGGATCAGTTGAGGTAGCAGTATATCAGTACTCTATCACCATCTATTGACTAAGAAACAAAATACACTCTCTTTCATTAATTCTCCTAATGCTCAGATAGCACAAGATAACATTTCCCTCTTAAACTCCTGGAATCTTTGGCATCTCAACTGAGCATCTGAAATGTCCCAATAACACTGACAGACAGAGATAAGAGGGGCACCAGGCCGCTGGGTTACTCTTTAACGTCCTTGACCACAGTTACCTGAGATACAGTCTTCTTGACACGAAGTGCTGTCAGTCGAGCAGCTGGATTGGCGTACCAGCACTCCCGCATGATCTTACCCATAATCCTCAGTGCCTGGAATAAACAAACATACAGCACATGGGTGATTCTATACTTTTGACTACTTAAATCTTGAAGCTGAAAAAATGTTTCATCTATGTGAAAACATTTATCTCATATCTTGTTTCATTTTCAGGGAACCAGGATTACATATTTAAGCAGTTTCTTTCTTGGTTTCATTCATTCATTTTTATTGTCTGTTTAAATGTATAAGTATGTGTGTTTATGTTTAGATTAGTTATTGTGCATTCTGTAGATTAGTTAAATAAACTGCGTAAATTCACCTAAGATTGTTGCAGTGTTCCCAAAGTCCCTTCAACAGCCTGACATTGCTACAGGTTCTAACACTGTACACAGTAGGAAAAGTTATTTTCTGTGGCCAGGAAAATAATATTTCTTAAAGTTGATATTTAATGAACAAGAATAAACAAAATAAGATAAACAAAAGTCTTACACACTTGGAATGACATGGGGGTGAGTAACTGATGAGAGAATTTTGTTTTTGGGGTGGACTAAGTCTTTAAACACAAATAATCAAGAAGTAGGTTTACGATGAGGAGCATTTTCCTTTACTATGTTCATTTAAGATGTTTTCGAAAGGAAAATAATGTAGTTGTATAATATAAACATTCGAAGCATTATTACATTTGTGTAAACTGCTCAATAGATTCCTCATATAAGTGAATACTACATATTATCAAATGTCACCTGAATGGTAGGTTTATCACACAAACCTCACAGCTCTGCCACTGGTTGGGAATGTTGGGTCGTAGTTTCTGTTCACACACCACCTTCCTCATATCATCCATTGATGGGTCTGATTGCACCTGGTCATAATAAGGCAACTGGAAATCTTCATAAATCCCTGCAGAGCACAAAACATTCATAAGAATTTATTTAAAAGAAGTATTGATTTAAAAAAAAAATCTTTTGATGTGGATGTGCAACATTTAAATAGGTATGTCATATTTTTAGCTTATGGTCTTCCTTAGGGAAGAAAATAAAATATGTTAGTTAAGGTCTAAACAGTCATCATGTTATATCTCATGACCATTTTTCTCACTATCTCTGACCCTAACAATTGAACAAGGTGTTGTATGCTAATGTGTCTTTAAGACTTCTGTGTAAATACTGTCCATTTTGATTGGCTAACCTTTTCACACGTGATATGAGTAGTAGCAGTAGTAGTAGCACACAGGATATGGGTTTACTCTCAGGTCTATAAAATACTATAGTCTGTAAAATACACTCTCAGACGAAACTTCTCGCAAAGTTTGGTGACCTTTATTATTAGCTAAGGCAATACTTCCTATTACCTCTTATTGTGCCTAGGGGGCAATGTTTCTGAACACTGAACAGGCATCACTGACCAGACATAAAACAAAAAAAAACTGTGGATGACTGGTATATTCATAACAAGAGTGAAATATTTTTCAGGCTGAAAAAAAGAGAGAGAGACATTTTTTTAAGGAAAAAGACAAACAGTATGACATGAGGGTGAGTAAATAATGACAGAATTTTCATCTTGAAGGGAAATATCTCTTTAAGGACTGTCAGTATGAACTTGTTATATATTACATGGCTTTTGGAATACTATTCTGATTGGACAATCAAGGTAGTGAGCAGTCAAATATTTCTGAATAATGACAGTTAAATATAAGAGCTAATAAAGTAATTATCTATCATCTATCTATCTATCTATCTATCTAGGAATGGTATATAAGGGGCAATTCTTTACTCAAAACATCAATGAATAAGAACATCATTCAAATCAGTCCACTGCTGGTGTATATTTATTTGGATCTGAACAATCTTTAACACAGGAAGGCACCTTGGACGTAACATCTGCGAGCAAGTTCCCAAAACACCAGGCCAAGTGAATAGATATCAGCACGCTTAAATGACTCAAAGCTGCTCATGTTTATGGAATCATCCAGGATCTCGGGAGCCATGTACCTGCAGAAACAAATACACTCACATTAGAGTAATGTACCCACACCGCATGAACGCATTAACCTCCATCAAGATGTCCTCATACACCTGAAAGCAAACAATGACGTGTCTTATACAGGGACAGGAATTGCATACAGAGTTCACAGAGAGGAACAGAGAACGAACACACACACACACACACACACATACATGCAAAGATACATGCTCTTTATCACTCAAGAATCTTGAATACACAAATCCAAAGCCTATAACATACAGACAATGATAGTAAATAGAAAGTCTTTAATAGTCATATTATAGCACCTGTCTGCACATGCAGCCAACGCTCTTATCCTGTATGTATTTACTGAGAGACTCAAATACAATGACTGGCTCTTCCACTGAAGTTTTTATGATTTAATACTTAAAGTAATAATGACCTTATGTAAGAAAAATATTGTCTAACCTCTTGGTGCCCACTCTGTGGTTAATGGGGATGTCAACAGTGTTGGTGTTGGAGTCGTGTTTGACAGCCAGACCAAGATCAGCAATCACAGCAGTTCCATTCTTCTTAACCAGAATGTTCTTTGACTTTATGTCTCTGTGAGCAATGGCAGGCTTCCCTGTCCCAAGAGCAAAAAGCCAATTTAATAACAGTACACATCATATACCTGACAAGGCATATTCATACAGAAAGGTAGTCTTTAGTGTTTAAGTATATTTAGGACACCCAGTCCTAAAAAGTGACAATTTTATTCCATCTTATTTATTGATATATTTTGACTAATTAGCTATGGCTAGTTCATGTACTCAAGACTAGATTATTGTAATGCAAAACATCTCTAGGTTACGCATGTAACCATGGTTCCCCGAGGGAACAAGACGCTGCATCAAAACGCTATGGGAACGTCTTCAGCGTGACCACGATCTGAATCACGTGTGTAATCAGTCCAATGGATGGGCGAGACGTCACGGGCGGGGTGACGTAGACACCAGGAAGCTTAAAAGCATGTGCAGTGGATACAGCGGCAGCTTCTGGGAAGTGAAGTAAGCGCTCGCAGGGATGCCGGAAGTATGGCAATGAGACACAGTGTCTCATTCCCTAGGGGAACCATGGTTACATGTGTAACCTAGAGACGTTCCCCTTCAGGAACTCAAGCTGTGTCTAAACTCTATGGGAACGTGTATGCCCACGCCGCCAGACTTACAAGTCCCTGCCTAGTGTGGAAGAGCACAGCTAGGGCGAGAGAACGGAGGAGCCCTGAGTGGCTCGAATTTCGAGGCCACCTGAAAAGCACCTGACAGAAAGGCCTTGGAGGCCGCCACACTTCTGGTAGAGTGAGCCTTGACCCCCAAGGGCGAGGGGAGATCAGAGGACTCATAAGAAAGACAAATGGCATCCACCATCCACCGGTGAGGGTCTGTTTAGTAGCAGGAAGACCTCTCTTGGGGGGACCATAGCACACTAGCAGTTGGTCCTCCCTTCTCCACAGGGCAGCTCTGTGGACGTATGTGTCCAGTGTGAGCACTTCTGCTGGTCTGGATCCCGGAAGGGAGGAGGACAGAAGGCCTGAAGTATGACAGGCCGTGGTGCAGAGGAGGGAACTTTAGGTACATAACCCAAACGAGGGTAGAGAAACGCTTTGGCCAGTCTGGGCGCAAAGTCTAAGTAAGAGAGGAGACTAAGAGGGCCTGCAAATCCCCAACTCTCTTAAGAGAAGTAATCGCCAGAAGAAAAGTAGTCTTTATAGTGAGATGGCGATCAGATATCTCCTCTATAGGCTCGAAAGGAGGTTTACAGAGAGCCTCTAGCACCACAGCTAGGTCCCACGGGGGGACACGAGATCATACAAGAGGCCTCAGCCTCAGTGCACTGTGGAGGAAACGTGTAACAAGGGGGTGTTTGCCTACTGACTGACCATGCCACGTAGACCTTCAAGGTGGAGTGGGTCAACCCTGCGGAGAATCCGGCCTGCAGGAGTCAGCACTGTACCAACTGAGCAGTTAACTGGGTCGAGCTGGCGGTCTCTGCACCAAGAAGTGAAAAGCTTCTACTTCAAGGCGAACAGTTTCCTCGTAGAGGGAGCTCTGGATTGGAGGATGGTCTCAACAACCTCGGTTGAGAGACCGGAAGCTATGAGCTGTGCCCCCTCAGGGGCCACACCCACAGCTTCCACAGCTCTGGGCAGGGGTGAACAATGGTGCCCCCCCGCCTGAGAGAGGAGGTCCCTCGTGACGGGAATCTCCCATGGAGAGCCATCGAGAAGGGACACCAGGTCCGAGAATCATACTCGGCCCGGCCAGAACGGGGCCACTAGCAGTAGACGGACCCCGTCCCGGCGCACTCTCTCCAGAAATCCCGGGAGCAGAGCGATCAGGGGAAAGGCATACAGACGAAGCCTCGGCCAAGTCTGTACCATAGCGTCTAGTCCGAGAGGAGCTGGATGAGTCAGAGAGAACCAGAGGGGACAGTGCAATGTCTCCTGAGTCGCAAACAGGTCCACCTGAGCCTGGCCAAAAACTCTCCATATCTGCCTCACCACCTCGGGGTGAAGCCTCCATTCCCCGGGCCTCGGCCCCTGCCTCGACAGAATGTCTGCTCCCATATTGAGATGCCCAGGGATGTGAACTGCTATCAGCGAGAGGAGTTTCCCCTGGGACCACACAAGGATCTGGTGCGCCAGCCTGTAAAGGGGGCGCAAACGCAGACCTACCTGGTGGTTGATGTAAGAGACCACCGCTATGTTGTCGGTGCACACCAACACATGGCGATCTCTTAGGTCTGGGAGAAAGTGTTTCATTGCTAGAAACACGGCCAGCATCTGCAGGCAGTTGATGTGCCACGTGAGATGGTAACCGATCCACAGACCACGGGCTGAGCGGCCACTCATGACCGCTCCCCAACTGGTGAGGGATGCGTCCGTCGCTAGCGTTACGCGGCGACAAGGAGCTCCCAGCACCGGGCCAAGAGACAAGAACCAAGGCTTCCTGCACATGTCTAAGGCACGTAGGCATCGCATCGCTCTCGGAGAGAACCCCTTGGTCTTGAGCCACCACTGTAAGGGGTCTCATGTACAGCAGGCCAAAAGGTATCATGTTGGACGCAGCTGCCTTCAGACCCAGCAGTTTTTGAAACTGCTTGACAGTGAGTGACCGGCCTTCTCTCGATCCGAGCAGGAGACAGACGTCCCTGCATCGTGGTTGAATCCTACACCACGCCCAGATAAGTGGTCCTCTGTAATGGAGAAAGCACACTTTTCTTGGCATTTAGTCTTAACACCAACTCTTTCATATGGGTCAGAACGACATCTTGATGTCGAACCGCCATCTGCTCTGATTGAGCTAATATCAACCAATTGTCAATGTAGTTGAGCATGCAGATGCCCTGGAGTCGCAGAGGAGCCAGAGCAGCATCCACACACTTGGTGAAAGTGCGGGGTGAGAGTGCAAGGCCGAAGGGAAGAACCCGATACTGGTAAGCTTTGCCCCCAAAAGCAAACCTCAGGAACTTCCTGTGTTGAGGAAGGATGGAGATATGGAAGTATGTGTCCTTCAGATCTATCTGAAACCCGTCCTCGGACCTGATCTGGAACACGACTTGTTTGATTATGAGCATCTTGAACTTCAGTCTCATGACTGAGCGGTTCAACTGACGCAGATCTAGAATCGGACACAAGCCCCCATCCTTCTTCGGAACTATGAACCTCGGCTGTAGGACCTCGATGGCCTCCTTCCTCAAGAGAGAGTTTACTTCTTGCTCCATTACCAGAGCCTGCTCGGGGCCCACCAGAGTGGGAAGAACCCCGCAGAAACGAGGCAGTGGAGAACCGAACTGGATTCTGTGGCCTCTCTCTACAGTGTGCAGGACCCATTGAGACACATTTGGCAGA